AACTTGAAAATAAAATTAGACAAAATTTCGAAAATAATGGTACTTTTTGTCTTAATTATCAATCACAACGATAATTTGGCTAATTATCAAATGTAGTAATAGTTTTACTTTAAAAACTTGCGATACAGTTAATCAATTCGCTTTATATTTGTTATGTATGTTCACTTTATATTAGAACAAATTGATATACTGATACAAAGTGAATTGATATAACTCCAACTTTGGCTATTTTCTCATGTACGAGTCCTTTTTTTTTTAATTCCTCTTTTGATATTCAGTATTCATATTGGAGTCCAATTAAATTTGAATTTCGACAATTTTGTATGATATATTTCGAAAATGACTCTCCCAACAAAATTGTTTTTATTCCTACAAGTACAAACCATACATGAGTCTGATAATCTCAACTATCTCACCATCATCCATATTGATCATCACGAGGTTAACTATGAAGAGAGTTAGGATAATTTTGGACAAATGATGTGAAATCAAATGATTGGAAGTTAAAATTTTGTTTGAAATTTTAAAATCTTCATGATTTCAAACTACATGGCATACTTTATATCATATCATGTACAAAGCAAGCTTAAAATCTTCATGATTTCACTGATACTATTTCTGTATATCTCATTCTTAGTTTTCTGTTACTACTCGTCCTCTTATGCCTCTATTTTCTTACTATCATGTTGTTGTTACTCTGCTTATGTCTTCATAAATGTTATGTTTTTGCTTTCCTTGAGCTAAGGATCTATCGAAAATTGCCTCTCTACCTATCAAGGTAAGGGTAAGATCTCCGTATACTCTACCCTTCCCAGACTTCACTTGTGGGATTATACTGTTATTATTGTTCATTGAAAACGTAGATCTTTTCCTTAACAGGAACAGAAATTCTAAGAGAACTTGAAGCTGAATACTGCATCACAAAATATCATTTGTGTCAAGTTCACATTTTCTTTTATCCCGATCTTCCTAGTGATATGTGGGACAAACATCGTTATAAGTTGTCCAAGTTGCCAAGAAATAGTTCGATTTGATATCTGCAACTGTTCTATAATCTATCTAGAAAAACATAAAGTTCCATTTTAGGTTCTTCAATTTGCATCTTATCTTGGAAAAAAAGGTGTTTCCCTCTTATGTACTATTGATGCTATTTGAGATGACCAAGTAAATCTAGTATGTTTACCCTATCAAATGTTTGTAATTGTGCAGGAATGTTATCCATGGAAGTGATTCTGTTGAAAGCGATATGAGTTTGAAATACTAAACATCTATGGAAATTTAAGGTTATGTTGTTTTTCTATTATAAAAAGATAGATGAAAGGTCTCGAGTTCAAGTCTTGAGTTATGAAGTCACCTTTGGTAGGAAATGCTTTACCTTCCAAAAGTGGGATTTGTTATGACCATTTGTCAGATCATGTAAAGCCGTGTTTGGTTTGCCTTGCAAGTTATCCAAAGGACGAAGATATATGGATGTCTGAGTTGAAAGATTTGTTGATTGTTCAAGGACTTGTGGAGCAGATTGAGATGAAAAGTGCAGAAGAAGTAGTGGATGAATTAATTTTAATACCTTTTGATAATTCTATTTGCAAAATTCATGATCTTGTGCATGACTTTTGTTATATAAAATCTAGAAAGGAAATCGGTATAACATTGACAGATTCTTTGCTGAATGAAATCGGTATGCTCGTTCATTTGAAGTACTTAATCATTCAGACGAAGGCAAAAGCTCTCCCTCCGTCATTTTCAAACCTTTGGTGGAGGGATCATGCATGGTACTATCGCCTTGTTTAATCTCATGTTATCAATTAAAATAGAATAACTTCATGTACCCTTTTAACGGACAATAAAGATCATAGTATATTCATTATTAATTTTTATTTATATAACGATAAAAAATAATTATAATAAAACAAGAAATATTTTTATTTTTATTTTTTTCTGAATTGAAGTAGGATAAATATTTGCTAATTTTAAAAAAATATTATTAGAAAAAAGAAATGTGTTAAAAAAGAAAAATCAATAATATATTTATTTTGAAAATGGGCATTGGTTGATCTATTTAATAACAATAAGGGCATTTATGGACGGAAGTATTGACGGCAAGGGCATTTTTGGACCAAATCTTAAACGGAAGGCATTTTTATTTATTTTATATAGTTTAAGGGCAATTTTGACCATTTCTCTTTATTTAGTTGGATAAGCTTATATTATCGTATCATAATACTTTATAAATTAGGTCAGGATATGATTTCAATTGGTAAAAAAATTATATCTTGTTGGATATAAATTTGATTGTTAAAGGACAAAAGTTAAAGACAAGCCCATTTAAAAGTCAAAACATACAATTTTATGATTCCTATTTGGTTTGAGCAGTGAGGTGTTACTCCCTCCATTTTAAAATAAGTAGTGTTTTAGAATGTCGCTTGAAAAACTTATTTCTCCGATATTATTAAAAAAGTCATTTTCTTTATTTTTATAAATCAAAAACTCATTTTTTTTAAAATTGTGTATGAGAAGTGCTTAAAGGAATTGAGAATTGGAGTATTATTGGTGCTAGAAAGAAGAAATAATTAGACATTGAGAAATGGACAATATAAAAAAGACAATTCACAAGACTACTTTAGACTAAAGTCTTTTTTTTTTATATTTTCGTTTTAGTCTCATGGTCAAAAGTTACACATTATCATCTTATATTGTTTAATCAAGGGAAAAGGACATAAAATACCCCTATAATTGCATGAAAAGTCATTTACACACTAATACTTTATTACGTTAAGTATTTAATATAGGCTTTTAATATGACATTAACTTACAAAATGATCATCTAAACACCTTTTAAAACTTATGTGTCATGCAATAAGCATCGAATGTCTGCAATACATAAGGAGAATGAGTTGGGACAACTTAATGACTTTTTTTAAAAAAAAAAAAAATTATACAAGTGACACTCATTTAATGTGTTCTTTCCACTCTCAATACACCTCATCATCACCCTCACTCGCGTAGCCCCACCACACCCACCACTCAACTCTCACGCAGCACGCCCAAAAAGACATCCAATTGGAATCAGATAGGGAAGTTTACAAACCAAAAAAAAAAAAGATTTTTTTAATAAGTAATAATCTCAAAACAAGTGGAGTGTAAAATATTATATTTTCCACAATTGATTACAGAGACTTGAAGATGACAATTAATTTACAAAGACTAAGATGATAATGTGTACTACTGCCTCCATCCTGTGATAATATTCGATTTTCGAGAGTTAAATGAGTTAAAAAAAAATTATCTACTTTTTCCATTTTTAAATTATTAATTTATTATAATTTATAATATTTTTCACGTAATATATAAATTAAAAGGTCAAATATTTGAAAATAAAAAAAGTGCTATGTGATACTATATATCATGTTCAGAAATAATAATTTATATAAATTATTTCCTTCGTCCACTTTTAATTGTTATGGTTTCTTTTTTTAGAGTCAAACAACTTTGACTAACATTTTATGATGTATTTTTTCATCATATTGATATGCAAATTAAAAATTGACTTTCTAAAAGCGCAATATGACAATTAAATGTGGACGTGGGAGTACTGGAGTAATTTTTTAACTCTTCTTTGGCCTTTCAAGTTTGTCTTTGGCCAAGTAATTATTTCAACTGCTTTTGTCCCATTTTTGTCAACTTTAAGGTATGATTATTGAAGATTATTTGGGTGTTAATACTTTCTTCTTTACAAATTAATATTTTCAAACATTTGTGGTGGTAATTAGAGACTAATTAGTAGAGTAATTGTTGTGTTCTACATCAGATTTTGAGAATTCCATACATGGAAATAGGAAAAGAAAATGAAGGAGAAATAGAGAAATTAGCAAGCAACTCATTGGTATGTTACTCTGTCTGTTGTTTCTTGTACCTCGATTAGTATATTGTTTTGTTGTAGTTTTTGTTCTGTTACTATCTGCTATTTTTGTCATTATCAAGTCTAAACAGTGCTAGCTAGCTATCAGTACTTGTGTTCTCTATATTGTATGTGTACTTGCTTTTCATAACGTTATTTTGTTGTTCTTACGGTTTCTTTTTCTTAAATGTTTTGTAATGCTTCCTATAGTATTTGTTTTGTCTTCCTTTCTTTTGTATGTTCCTTGATAGTAAAGTCACAAATTTATTGATTATCACATTAAAGTAACTGAACTTTACCCACTATAACGGTGAAGTCACTAGGCTTTGAATTTAACTTGCTTAGCAGAAAATAGAAGTTATGCAAATTGGTTCCCTAATTGAATTTGTGCACACAATGTTTGATTGGTTTGGGAATATTTAGTTTATAATATTTATTGATATTTCCAAAAAAAAAAATGGTGGGGTCAAGTTGATCGAGTGGTTTGGGCTACAAATCATTATTTAGCCCATCTTGACTTAGCTTATTATAGTCCAAATAAACTTAGGACAGGATTGAGCAACGACCCATTGATTCAGTCCATTCTAACCCATTCAAATTTTGTCCAAACCGTTCATTTGTCACCTTTAGACATGACTAATTATGTTTTCCAAAGAAGTGTAAGTTTCAGATATGGCAATTGAAGAACCAGAAACCAAAATCATCCCAATAAACATAACTTCCAAATATGAGACTTCTTGATCTTGAGGTAGCATATGCATGGTAAAAATATCGACACGGTAACGTTCAAAAGCGCGCCTGTAAATGTCATGACATATCCAAAAAATGGAACGGTTAATGCCACAATGACCATGCTGATGACAAAAAATGTTCTAATGAAGTAGCTCATGATAAATTTACTCTTTTGTAAAGGTAATTTATCTTCAATAGTTGTTGCAATTGGAGAGACGACAAGAGCATACTTTGTTATTGAATTAACGAGTATCGTATATATCGCGATTTTCAAACTAATTTTTCCAATAGGGAGATTTAATTTTATTTGTGACATTAAATTTTGTCCATACATTAAGTACCCCATTGTTGCCATTGATCCATAGGTTATGGTGCTTTATATAAAGCACACAAATAAAACCTGTATGACAAGAAGAAGAAAAAAATTAAGCTACAAACACGCACTGATCAAGTAAAATATGTTTATAATTATTGGTGTGTAAATGACTTTTCATGCAATTATAGGGGTATTTTATGTCTTTTTCCCTTGATTGAACGATATAAGATGATAATGCAGGTGTAACTTTTTGACCATGAGACTAAAAAGAAAATATAAAAATATGACTTTAGTCTAAAGTAGTCTTGGGAATTGTCTTTTTATATTGTCCAATTCTCAATGTCTAATTATTTCTTCTTTCTAGTACCAATAATACTCCAATTCTCAATTCCTCCAAGCACTTCTCATACACAATTTTTTGAAATATATATATTTTTTTTAAAAAAATTGATTGGTCAATTTTTTTCTTTAGAAAAATGAGTTTTTAATTTATAAAAATAAGGAAATGACTTTTCAAATGAAAGCAGGAGAAACAAGTTTCATAAGTGAAACACCCTTAAACAATGTGAAATGAACAAAAATGTCATCCGTTTATAATTTGGTCCAAAATTACCCTTGCCTCATTACTTTCGTCCATAAACGCCTTTATTATTATTTAATGGGTCAAAAATGCCCTTCCAACTAAATATATTATTTATTTTCTTCTTAACACATATTTTTTCTAATAATATTTTTTAAAATTAGTGAATGTTTATCCTACTTCAATTTTTTTTTAAAAAAAAAAAATTCTTATTTTATTATAATTATTTTTTATTGTTATATAAATGAAAATTAAAGATGGATATACTATGATGTTATATAGGTGACGAAAATTGATGGCAAGGACATTTTTGAGCCAAACTATAAATGAAGGATTTTTTGTTCATTTCACGTAGTTTAAAAATATTTTTGACCCTTTTCCGAAAAATATATTCTTAAAAGGCAAAAGACCAATTAGGAACCCCACCTAGTGAGACATTATTAGTGGGCTTATCTTTAACACCTTTACAACTCTCAACTGGAAAACAAAAGATTCTAATTACACCTTTGATTTTCCTTCATTCTTAGTTTGATGTAAATTGTTTCTCTTGAGAAGTTGAAAGGAAGGATTTTTTTAAAAAAAAAAACTACTTTGGCTTGATTAGTGAGAATGGAAAGAGGAAAAGAAAATGAAGGACAAACAAAAGGGGAAGATAACAAATCATTGGTATGTTGTTTATTATATTTAATTATTTTTTTCATTCACATAATTAATGTTTTTGTTGCTTTGTGTAACTTAGATGGTGAATATAATCTTTATAACCTATAAGAATCGATGATTTAATCTTTCTGGTATAAGTTAAACTCTATGTACTAAATCATCTGCTATGGTTGATAGTAAGGGCAAGAATATAATCAAACCTTGTATTAGATCATGAGAATCGGGCATTGGTGGCCTAAGTACAACATGTTTGGAATGGCTTAAGAATAGGGGTGACAAATGGGCGGGTTGGGTAAAATTTGGGCGGGTTGAAAATGGGTCAACATAAAATGGGTTAATAATTCAACCCGTCCATATTTGATATGGGTAAAAATAGATTGGGTAAAATACTAGTTTACTTATATTTTACCCATATTTTCATGAGTAAATAGTAATCTACTTAAGAATTCAACATGGAGAAAATATTTTAGTCTTTTTTTAGATGAAAAATGCTTCATTTAGTTTTATTGTATCATAAAAGTAAAAAAAATCCTATAATTTTTCAATATAAAATAAAATTATGTAATAACAAGGGGGAAACATTTTTAATTTCAAAGTAAATGAATATTTGCATTCTAGGACTAAAACATGCTTAATGCACTTTAAGCAATGTCAATACTAATACATGATTTGCTTATTTTACCCTATATATTTATCATCCAATATAAAATTAAACAAATAAAAAAAATATAATTATAAGTAACAAAAAAAATAGTACATTTAAAATATATATTTTTTAAAGGGCAAAGACTTCAACTTTTCAATTATAGTGAAAAATAATTAGTTCTGTAGAAGAACATAAAAAGCAAGGGAAAGTCCTCTGCACTTTGTCCTCTGCACTTGTAACAGTTGCTTGTTGTAAAAATTAGAGTCAACAATCAAAACATGCCTGAGCTATCACGTTTTGGCGAGTTTCACACCTCAACTATATTAGTCGTTCCCTTTTTTCTATCTAAATTATCACCATCTATGTATTAACATAATTTGAAACAACATTTGGTCTTTTGGCAGGTGTCATCCCGCGTTGTACTTCGCGAGGACATCGACAATCTTCTAGATTTCATAGAGAGGTTAACTAGTGGGCGTGTTCGAACTTCTCTTGACATTGAAGCTGACGTTTGTGTCCGCATTTTGTGGTCTTTATTACTCTTTATTTTGGAAAGTTGTAATGACGAAATGTCTTGCATATCCAATGAGATTCATGATTTCGTTCAGTCACTGTTTCATCCAAGTGGAGTAGACATGCTGGTTGATAGAATGTTTTTTCACCTCTTGGAGAATTTCAAAAGTTATATTAGCTCACATAGCTATGTTGAACCAAGCCGTGTAACAACCATGACCGAGGATCGTTTCGTTGAACTTTTTAGATGCCATCCACATGTATCTCCAAAGTCTATTCAAGTGTTGTTCTGAATCTATTTTCCCATCAATTACTCAATGTGAGCTTCTTCAGAATGTATTTGGCAATTTAAGAGATTTCTATAGGTTGAAAGTAAATGGTTGCATTGAGTATGAAATAATCGAATATGTCTTACCTCATCTTCAACTTATGGCTCTGAGAGTAGTAAACTTCTGCTGTTCGACTATTGTGGATGAATCAGCTCATAATCACTCCAAGTTACGATAGCACAAAGTTGGGCCCGTGCTTGCACGGGCTTGTACTATCTAATAATTAATTATGTGAATGAAAAAAATAATTAATTATTATATGCAACATACCAATGATTTGTTATCTTCCCCATTTGTTTGTCCTTCATTTTCTTTTCCTCTTTCCATTCTCACTAATCAAGCCAAAGTAGTTCAAAAAAAAATTCCTTCCATCAAACTAAAAACGAAGGAAAATTAATGGTGTAATTAGAATCTTTTCTTTTCCAGTAGAGAGTTGTAAAGTTATTAAAATAAGCCCACTAATAATGTCTCACTAAGTGGGGTTCCTATTTAGTCATTTGCACTTTTGAATAAATTTTTTTGAGGAGGATAAATTTATATTTTCGTATCATAATATTTTATAAATTATGTCGAGATATGATTTCACTTGCTAAAAAATTTATATCTTTTTAGGTATAAATTTGATTGTTAAAAGACAAAAATTAAAGACTAGCCCATTTAAAAGTCAAAACATGCAATTTTATGATTCCTATATATTTGGTCTGAGCAGTGAGGTGTATTACTCCCTCTGTTTCAAAATAAATAGTGTTTTAGAATGTCACTTGTGAAACTTGTTTCTCTTGTTTTTATTAGAAAAGTCATTTTTCTTATTTTTATAAATAAAAAAATTGACCAATCATATTGTAAAAAATTGATATAGTTCAAAAAAAAATTGTGTATGAGAAGTGCTTAAAGGAATTGAGAATTGGAGTATTACTGGTACTACTAGAAAGAAGAAATAATTAGACAATATAAAAAGACAATTCACAGTACTACTTTAGACTAGTCATTTTTTAATATTTTCTTTTAGTCTCATGGTCAAAAGTTACACATTAATTACCATCTTATATTTGTTTAATCATGGAAAAAAGACACAAGACACCCCTATAATTGCATGAAAAGTCATTTACACACTAATACAAAATGATTATCTAGACACTTTTTAAAATTTATGTGTCGTGCAATAAGCATCAGGAGGATGAGTTGAGACATCTTAATGACTTTTTTCTTAGAAAGAAAAAACAAATTATACCCTTTTTCTACTCTCAATACACCTCATCATCACCCTCATCCGCGTAGCCCCACACACCCACCACTTAACTCTCACGTCTTATACACAAATATTTATAGAATAATATTTTATTTCTCTACCGAGCACGCCCAAAAAGAACATCCAATTGGAATCAGATAGGGAAGTTTACAAACCCACAAAAAAAGAAAGAATTTTTTTATAGGTAATCTCAAAACAAGTGGAGTGTAAAATATTATATTTTCCACAATTGATTACAGAGACTTGAAGATGACAATTAATTATTTAATTTACAAAGACTAAGATGATAATGTGTACTACTGCCTCCACCCTGGGATTGTATTCGGATTTCAAGAGTTAAATGAGTTATTTTTTTAAAATTTAATTTTTCCATATATTTTTTAAATTATTAATTTATTATAATATTTTTTACGTAATTTATAAATTAAAAGGTCAAGTATTTGAAAATAAAAAAAGTGCTATGCGATATCATGTTCAGAAATAATAATTTATATAAGGGAATATAAATTATTTTCTCCATCCACTTTTAATTGTTATGATTTCTATTTTTAGAGTCAAACAACTTTGACTAATATTTTATGATGTATTTTTTTTATCATATTAATATGCAAAAAATTGACTTTCTAAAAGCGCAATATGACAATTAAATGTGAACGGGGAAGTACTGGAGTAACTTTTTAAATCTTCTTTGGCCTTTCAAGTTTGTCTTTGGCGAAGTAATTATTTCAACTGCTTTGTCCCATTTTGTCAACTTAAAGGTATGATTATTGAAGAATATTTGGATGTTAATACTTTCTTCTTTACAAATTAATTTTTTTCTAGACATTTGTGGTGTTAATTAGAGACTAATTAGCAGAGTAATTGTTCAGATTTTGAGAATTGCATGCATGGAAATAGGAAAAGAAAATGAAGGAGAAATAGAGAAATTAGCAAGCAACTCATTGGTATGTTACTCTATCTGTTGTTTTTTATACCTCAATTAGTATATTGTGTGTTGTAGTTTTTGTTCTGTTACTGTATGCTATTTTTGTCATTGTTTCTTGTTTCTTGTATCTTCATTACTTCCGATTGTTTTTCCTGAGCCGAGGATCTATCAGAAACAGTTTATGTACCTTTGCGGTAGGGGTAAGGTTTGCATATGCTCTACCCTCTCTAGATCCTACTTTGTGGGACTATGTTGTTATGTTGTTGTTGTATTGTCTTGGATGATTATTTATTTTGTTTATCTTGCTATTCTGCTATCGTTATTTTTTATTCCTGCCTTGCTTTGATTACATCCAGAGTAACATGATATTTTATTAAAGAACTGTTGTTTTACTCAAAAATATAAATAAAAGAAAAAATGACTAAGTTTTGAAAAATCGATTAAACTTATAATTTAAGAAAAATCAAATTTTCAAAATAAAAGAGTCGCCACTTAATTTTTTTTTAGTAAAAATCAAGCAAAACTAAAAGTTTTCAAAAGATTTAAACAGACAAAATCAATTGAAAAAGGGTTCGGGTTCAATGTACATTCCGAGAAGGTGTTAGGCCCTCGAAATGCCCGCTAACTTGCGGTTTACCAGCGATTTGACTAAAATATGTTTTGACTATTTTTTTTAGAGAGAAAAAAAAGTGTTTTAACATAAAAATAATAATTTGCAATATTTGTCTAACTTTGAGGAAAATAATTAAATAAATGACACATTTTATTTCGTTTTATTTTTTTAGAGAAAAAGGATCCAAAGTGAGACAATTGAATTAAAATGCAAACGAATAGAATTTTAACAAAAGAAACTAGATTAATTAGAATTTATCTTTTTAAATCATTTTAAAAATAATTAGAACCGATTTGATTAATTAAAGCATGAACTGTTTTAAATTAATTGAAAATGAAATATAAAGTTTTGACTAAATATTAAATAAAAACATGAGAGTTGATAAAAAAAAATGAACTATATTAAAATAAACTAACATAAAGAATGTTCATCTTTTGGGGAATTAATTAAGTTTAACCAAATTAAATAAAAAAGTTAGTTAGAAAACAAATAAAACAAAGAAAGAAGGAAGTTAGGCCAAATTTGGGACTTTTGGCCCAAATTCAATTTTCTGGACCCTTGGCCCATTTTCCACTGCCTTTATGCAGTGTTAATGAATTCAAGAATGAGATTAATATGATACATATATAAATTTTATTCATTAATTGTACATGTGATTTTGTTTATGTATACGGTAACTGCACTATGTATACATTAGTTCGTATTCATCGTGTATTCAGTGATTTATATTCACATAATAAATTTGTATACTTTAATTTAAATTGAGATTGGAATTCATTGGTATACATTGGGTTGTATTCATCAAAATCAACATTTACGAAGATCTAACGAGAATCTTTCTTACCCATGAAATTGAGAACAAAAAATTCAAAAAACTATTACCTGAATTTTCGCCAAAAAAAGTTATAAAAATTTTAGTTCCACAAATCACGAAATTTCAAAATTAATGGGGCAAGAAATGCTACATAATTATAGATTAAAAGAAATTATTGGAAGGATCAATAGATAATCATACAGCTATATCTGATTTGCATAGACAGAGTAAATTAAGGAGAATAAGAGAAAATTTAGAAGAGAAGCAAATATACATATGAAAAGAATTTTAGAAAGAAAACAAAAGAAGGTTGAATAACCTAAATTTTCGCAAAAAACTTCAATTCTACAAATCATGAAATTCACAATTAATTGGACAAGAATAAGATTATATATAAAGATGATTTTTAGAAGTATCCATGAAAAAACATATTGTTATATCTGATTTTCATAAACAGATTGAATTAAGGAGAAGAATTGAAAATTAGGAAGAGAATCAAATATACGTATGAAAAGAATTCTGGAAAGAGAAAAAGGAGACAAAAAAAGAGAAGAACTCTATTTTAAAACTGTTAACAAAATAATTTTAAAAAAAAGAGATAAAATAGGGATAATAAAACAATAAAAAAAAATTCAAGAAAAAAAAAAGCAGCAATCAAACGTGTGTTTGAGAAAAATAAGGAGGACAAAAATACATTTTTAAAAAAGAAGAGAAAAATAACAATTCAATGCCAAATAAATAAAACAAAGTCTTTTTCTTGCTAAAAAAAATTAAAAATGGGCTATTTATTGTTAATTTAGTCTATAGGGTGTCATGATGTGCCATTTTGTCGTATGGAAATTGCTGAATTGTTGTTGGGCTGCTGGAAAGGGTGTTGAATTTGGCCCAAAAATGGTATTTTAAGTGGGTTTAAAGGTTAGGTAAGGAAAGAGTTTGGATTGGAGTTGAGAATTTGGCCCATTTGATTACAATTATAGCAATTGAATTTAAGAATATAACCAAATTGAGTTTAATTGGTAATTCGGCTAAAAAAAATTAAATAAGACGAATTAATATAAATTAATTAATGAGCTTCTTAATCTTAGCGAAATGAAATAATTAACTTAATTATAAATTGATAAATCATAATAAATATTAACTAACTAAACCAATTAACCGACTAATTATGTAAAAATAAAATCTTTTTGAGACAATTTTCTAATATTTATAAAATACACTAATTATATACATAATTACATAAAAGACATATTATTATTTAAAAATTATAACAAGTGACAAACTATTTGAAATAACTTGCAAACTATTCTATTATATTTTTTTTTCGAAATTTCTATAATTAATTACTTTAAATCGTTTGAAAAGTAAGAAGCTCGGAAATTAATTATTATCGGGGAGGATCGAAATTGGGTGTCAACAACTGCTCTTTGAGTACTTTTATATGTTTCATTTTACGTGGCACTATCTGTATGAGTATGAAATTTAAGAAAAAAGTTGAAAGACTTTAATTTTGAAACTTGTAATCTTAGATCCCTCCTGTGTTGATGAATAGCCTAGTAATTAAT